CCCCCCCCCCCCCCCGGCTATGTAGTCGTGGAGGTCATGGCAGTCCAAGTTGGGTGGCTGGGACCACATTTTCCAGCTGGGGAAACAGAAGCCTATTAATTCACAAACATTTATGTGCCCCACTCTGTGAGAGGTGCTGTAGGGGACACAGATGAGAGAGACATGGACTTGTGGCCCTTAGGGAACACTGCTGGTGAGGGGAGATACTGTTATCATCCCAGTGTGGCGTGGAAGCTCCTCTCTTACAGGGCGCTGCAGCCCCCTCCTCTGCCACTGCAGGGGTGTGCCTGTGGACCCGCCAGGCCGTACCCCTTCTATGGCCTGTGACCGTGTGAGCACCAGGGGGGCTGCTGAGAAGCTGCCTGTATATTGCTCTGACTTGTGCCAAGCTGCAAAAACTGGTGAGCCAGACTCCAGTCCTGGAAATGCTCATTTTGGAAGAGATCACAGAAGTCACTGAATTGTCCATAATCCACTTGGAAATGTGATTGTCTCAAAAGACCAGAGTTTACTCCTGAACACCTTATCCGAGCCCTTTCACAATGTTTCAACTGCATTTTGCTAACATCCTGAGCCCTGGCTCTCAGAACCGTGCTGTGCTGGAGTCGGCACTGGCTCAGTCCCTAGTGGAGAGGGTTGGTACTGTGATTCCACTAAGAAGGGCAAGTGGGACTCAGTGGGGCTCCGCGTCTGCTCTAGGCTTGGGCAGAGGGGGGCACACTCCTTTGCAGGGTAGCTGGAGAACAAATAAATGTCCCTCCGCCAAGTTGCTAACAGTAGCTTCAGCTGTTCACCCAACACTCGACAGTTTGCCCTTTTCTCAGTGGTTATTTCAACTGACCTTCACGACCGCTTTGAGACGTACCATGAAGAAGTAAGACAGTATCATTAACCCCATTTCGTAGATGAGGCAACTGAGGCTCAAGGATGTTGATTGACTCAGCCAGGGAGCAGTACAGATGGAATTTGAACCCGCAGGGCTGGGACTCAAAGCTCCACACACCTTGCTGTGTCCGTGGAGAGCTCCGTTCCCACCTCAAGGCTGCCACCAACTTGCTTCAGCCTAAATGTCACTTCCTTAGAGAGCTCTTGGTGACCCCCAAATCCAAATTAGGTGCCTTCTCTGTAATTCTGTCTCATGGTACCATGTCCTTTTAGTTCACAGCGTTTGTCACTGTGGTTGTCTGCTTTTTTGTGGGATGACTTGAATAACATCTGGTTTCCACCGTAGACTGTGGCCTCCCTGAGAGCAGGATCTGGTCTTTCTTATTCACTGTTGTGCCCCCCTATTGGGCCATAATGCCTGGCACAAAGGAGGCACTCAGGAAATACTTATGTAATGAATGCATTTCCTTAACAGTGTAACGAGGTGGTTGGACTCCCTAAGGGTCCTTCCAAGTCTCTTGTGCTGTCACTCAGAGAGTCTCCCTAACTTAGAACTTTATAGAGAAGATATAAGGATTCTCTGAGTCCACGTGGTGGCACAAGCCAACCTTGACGTGAGCAGACAGCGATTACAATCTAGACTTATTATAGTGTATCAGTTAGCTTTTTTTTTTTTTTTTTTTTTTGCGGTATGCGGGCCTCTCACTGCTGTGGCTTCTCCCGTTGTGGAGCAGAGGCTCCGGACGCGCAGGCTCAGCGGCCATGGCTCACACTCCGCGACATGTGGGATCTTCCCGGACCGGGGCACGAACCCATGTCCCCTGCATCGGCAGGCGGACTCTCAACCACTGCGCCACCAGGGAAGCCCCGTATCAGTTAGCTTTTGCTGCATAACACGCACCCCCCCAAAATTAGTGGCTTAAAACAATAAATATTTATCTAGTTCATGATTCCATGGCTTGGCAGTTTGGTTGAGTTCAGCTGGGTGGCTCTTCTGGTCATGGCTAGGATCATTTAAGTGGCAGCAGTCAGCAGCCAGGTAGGCTGTGGGCTGATTGGCATGGAGGACTCCCTTCTATGCCAGATGCTCTCTGGTGCTCCAGCAGGCTAGCATGAATTTGTTCATGTGGTGGGAAAAGGGCTCCCAGAGCAGCAAGAGCCAAAGCTGCAAGACCTCTTGAGGTCTAGGCTTCCAACTGGCGTATGACTACTTCTAACATATTCTAGAATGTGGTCAAAACAAGTCAAAGGGCCAGTCTAGAGTCAGGGAATGGGGAAATAGACTCTGTTGATGGGAGGTGCTGCAAAGCAGTGTGGTCTTTTAACAAACTGTCACGTATGGGAAGCATGTGCCACGTAGTTCACACTGATTTTACTGAAGAGTAAGACTCCTCTGGGACCTGCAGCTCCTGTGGCTCCACTGGCCTCTAGCTTTTTTTTTTTTTTTTTAATTATTGGAGTATAGTTGATTTACAACGTTGTGTTAGTTTCAGGTGTACAGCAAAGTGATTCAGTTATTTTATATATATAAATATATGTATATATATTCTTTTTCTGATTCTTTTCCATTATAGGTTATTACAAGCTACTGAATATAGTTCCTTGTGCTATACAGTAGGTCCTTATTGTTTATCTATATTATATATAGTAGTGTATAATCGCAAACTCCTAATTTATCCCTCCTTCCCTTTTCCCCTTTGGTAACCATAATTTTGTTTTCTATGTCTGTGAGTCTATTTCTGTTTTGTGAATAAGTTCATTTGTATCATTTTTTTAGATTCCATATATGTCATATCATATGGTATTTGTCTTTGTCTGGCTTACTTCACTTAGTATGATAATCTCTAGGTCCATCCATGTTGCTGCAAATGGCAATATTTCCTTTGTTTTTTTATGGCTGAGTAGTATTCCATTGTGTATATTTACCACATCTTCTTTATCCATTCATCTGTAGATGGACAAGGCCTCTAGTTCTTAATGGCAAAAGTTCTCTATCTTTCCTTCCAGTCTCTTCCCTGGAGTGCTTGCTTGAACCCACACATGCACATTTGTACATGAATACCCCGTCATGGTGTGTGGCCTCATCAGCTGTAGGAATTGTATTGTCCCAATTATTGAAGGATTGACATACACATGTGGGCAAATGAAGGTCTCATAGCTGATAGAGGATTCAGAGGATAAACACTCTAAATGGCATGAAATGCATTTTATAAATACAGTTAAATGCAAGCTTCATCTATTCACCACACGTTTATTGGGCACCTCCTATGTGCAAAGTTCTATATGTAAGCAGGAAGCCATTTCTGGAAGATGTTTGTTTCCAGAAAGTGCAATTTTATCATGTTAAAAACCTGCTCTTTAATTTAACCTTCTCCTGAAACACCATCTTCTTTATCTCTGCAGCTGAGACAGAGGTTCCTACAGGATATGTATTAGCCAGCTGTGTCTCCTTGTAAAAACTTTCAAACGAGTTCTCATGGGCTTGAAGTTCCTTTTGCAAATGCTCGCTTCATTGTTTGCTTTTTGCAAGTCTCTCCAAAATTCCTGAATAGCTGCCTTAGTTTTCATATATTATCACTTTTCCTACCTCCCTGGACCTTGAGTTTCTTTTGTACCAGACTTTCCTGGGTGGTCTGAGCCCGAGATGCATTTGTCAGGCATGGTTTCTGGCCCGGCGGCAACTTCTAGGGGTGGAGGGCCCAGTAGAGATCAGCTCTTTCCCCTCCTGAGAGGATTCCCCATTCAGGAGTTACAGGGATTGATATTTCCTGGTTAAGTGATCCAGAAGGATTCTCCGTCTTCCTGGGATGAGGGTGAAGAAGAAAGGAACTAGGCTTGGGTCTTAGCAGTCCTGGATTCAAATTCCAGCTTTTCCACATCCCAGCCAGATGCCGTTGTGTAAGTTATGTCAGCTTTCTGTCAAATGGGAGGAGTAATGATTGCCTCCTAAGGTGTTCTGAGAAGTAAACAAGGAGTGCGATGTGGATTCTGTTGGTACCTCCCCTGCAGATTCCCTTCATCAGCTCAGGACATCCATTATCCAGCTGTTGTGAGTATTGGCTGTTACCTATTCACAGCTGACCCTTCCTTAGAGAATTCTCTGCCAAACGGAAACCATGAACCAGGAAGGGGAATGGGAGATGGTCTAGA